CACGTGTCGCTTCAATCTATTGACCCGTAACAATAGTCCCCCAAGTGCATGTGTGGTTATTTATGCCATGCGTGGACTTTCTTTTAGTTAGAAAAAGTTTTAATTTTCTGTACTTCACATAATCTTTTGAACATTTGGGCCTATTAAGCCTTTTTCTTTTCTTTTTTGTTTTATTTATATATGAGGGTATATTGATTATTTTACGTTAAAAATTGTTGAAAATGACGTTTCCCGCAATGAAACATTGAAATAAGGGTAAAAATGTAAAAAATTGAAACGTATGAACGTTTTGCACAAAACATACCAAACGTATGAACGTTTTGTACAATTAAACCTTTTAAAATATCCGTTAGATTACATAGCATTATTCATTAAGAAAACTTTCCAATTCCACTAAAAAATATGTTAGGAAATGAAAAGATGCACTACGTGTTGCGAAATGTAGGATGTAGCCTGAATTATAGTCAACAAAAGCAACGGTATTCATTTAGAGATTGCTATTGTGCTGAGCGGCCGTACCCGCCAACGAACTTTCACTTGACCAATCACACGCTTACCATCTGGCTCTAATATAGCCTGTCATCACAACTAGAACTTTATGAAACATTTCAAAACGTGGCATCAACATATATCACCCAACATCATATTTCACGTCGAATAATGTGGTGCTATAATATCAAATTAAATGGTCATTTTAAATAAATTCAATTAAATAAATCATGTGACATTATGGAAAAGTTTGACACTCATTTTTTTTCTCATTCTCTTTCTCATTTTTTTCTCTTTCTTCATTTCAACCACATATTTTATCAATAAAATAATATTACACATAAACCAAAAACTTCTCCTTACTTTTTAACCACACATTCTTCTATCAATCACTATTCCAAATCAAATTTTTCTATAAAATGGGTGTAAACAAGGCCTATATTTAAGTGAATTTATTATTTAATATCATACAGTTGCCACCTAAAATGATACTCAGGTTGTGTCTGTTTCCGATTTCAAGAAAAATTCCAACTGTTGCTACAGTGATTTGCCCACAATATTTGACTTTGTTGTGTCATAGTGGGTCCACAATTTTGGAAAAAAAAGGGTCCAAAAATCCCTTTTCTTGTTAAAATAATTTCTCCTAGACAGACCCTTAATACCAGTGATTGAATAATATTACTCGAGGGAAAATTTGCAAAAATAGGGATGCAAATTGTGAGATAATTTAGTTCCACATAAATTAGAAGTTCCCAAACTCGACTCCTAGAATATGGAGCCAACTAGGAACTTAAATCGATCATTTTTACCCCAATGACTCGACTAGTTTATTAGAGAAAAAATGATAAACAATTCTAAACATGGCATCAATTCAGCATTTCAATAAGTAAACAACTTGTGGCAAGACAAATATCATAAACAAGAAGGAAAATTGCAGCCATAGTATCAAACTTTGTCGAAACCTTTCATTTGTGCCACCTATAATACCAAACATTTAAAAAACACTCATAGTCCAATTTAACAGAAACTTTTAGTTTGACCGTTAATTGACTAGAGAATTGATTTTGACCATAATTTTGACTAATTTTAAAAGGATAAAATGGTTATTTTACATTTTCTATAATAAAATAATTAAAATAAAATATACCCAAACCACACACACCCCCCACCCAAACCTAAAACCAAAAACAAGAACCCACGCGCACCCACCCACCCCACCCTACCCTACCCTTGATTCCAAAACTAGCTACGGACTCGGGCTTCGACACTATCTCCATCTAAATAGATTATTCCAAAATCAGCATAATTATTAAGCCATGCTTCATGCCAAAATTGAGAAATAATCCAATTTAGTGCAAGCCATGAATCTTCATAAGCAATTGGGAGTGGGCATTCGCCATTAATGGTGCTCTTTTGGTACACGATTTTATTCTTTTGTGGCTTGAAGCCATTTCTGTGTCTATATATAATTCTTGAATTTGGAAATTTTGAAGTCTTGGGGTACGATTTTGATGGCTTCAATTGTGAAAAGTTTCTGGGCATCACCCCATTTTGCTTTGAATGTGAACAAGATATGTCATTCTAGATCTGGATTTCAATGTTCAACTAGTGGGGATTCGGCTGATGTTGCATTCTCTCCTGAGCATGTTAAAAAGTCAATGGGATTGTTAATGGGGATTCGACAATTCTGTGGAGCTCGCCATTAATGGTGGCCATGGCAGTGTAATTTCTGTGTAATTTGTGTGCGTACATTTTGGGTTTGGGTTTTCTTTAAAATACACGGGGAGATGATTTTGGTTGGGAAAAGATTGAACTTGTTTGGATGGGGTGCCGGCGACCGTGCCTGCATTGTGCAACGGGTGGTGGAGACTGATTTTCAGCGGGTGGGAGTGGGAAAAGTGAAGGAGATAATGTTACCTTTTTCCCTTTTTGTTATTTAAGTTTTTATTAAAATTGTGAAGTTACTATTTTGCCATTTTTAAAATTGATCAAAGTTTACTATTATGATCAACTTACGGTCGATGGATGATTTTCATCCATTTGGACTATTGACTGCAAGTTTTTTTAAGGTTTGGTATTGTAAGTGACACAAATAAGTTTGCAACTAAATGAAATATTTGATATCGTGACTACAATTTTCCTTAAACAAAAACGTAAGGGCATAGATGTCTTAATTGAAATGAAAAAATGGAATTTATAGAAACTATCAACATACTCCTTTTCATTTTTCTTCTTATTATTAGTTATTTAATTAATTTCACAAGTAATTTTCCTTTTTCTTCTTATTATTAGTTATTTAATTAATTTCACAATACTTGACTCAAAGAATGCTCTCTTTACAATCGAAGCCTTAACTTCTACCCATGATTTTAATGAAGATAATAAGTGTCTATTTTCCATTTTCTCCCTACAGAGACCTCGCTCAAGCAAATTTCCTCGAGAAAAAGTAATAATTGATTTCCACAACAGAGTCTAGAAACTACAACGATTTTTCCAGTCAAGAAGGCCAAGAAACGAGATAATTCAATTGAATCAAATCTATTCTCTTTCTGTTTCATTAATACTTCAATTTCAATGCCAACACTACAATAAAAATAATACATATTTTGCTCTTAATTAATTTTGAGGAAAAATGGCCATTCCCATATTAGTTTGGAGGGGAAATTGGATTGGGAACAGAGGAAAAGTGAAAATTAGTTAAGGAACAAGTTTTGGTTTGTCCTGCTTAATTGGTTGATTCTTGTTTCCAAAATCTGGCAGGGAGTCCATGCAAAGGGATGGGGAATGGAGCATATTCAATTCCACTTTGGGATCCCACCACTTCATACCTGCAAACACAATTATCAATTAATACCATATATCACATACCACTCCCCCAACATCGTCGCATAGTTAGTAAGATAAACTTTATAGTACAACACAAAAATGGGAGGGAGGGGAATTATGAATTTTGCTACATGTACATCAAATCAAAATTGGAGAAAAGGGGTTATAATATGATGTGGATGAAAAAAAATAGATGAAAAAATTGACTGTGTTTTAAACTGACAAATTGTAGAATATTACGTGATATTATGTAACCGATTATATAACCTATAATATACATGTAGCAAGATTCTGTTATTACATTGTTGTAATCAAATCTTATGATAATTTGTACGTGTATAAAAGATATATGACATGTTTGGTGTATTCAACTAAACATACTAGGAACGAGTAAAGCATGTAATAGAATTGATTATTTATGATTTAATTCGATTTTTTTAAAAAAAAACTTCTAAAAATGCTTGTTTCAGTTGGAGAAAGTACCTGAATTGAGAAGCTAGATGATGGATCATAACGAGCATCTCTAGCTTAGCAAGTTCGTTACCAGGGCAGGCGTGTACTCCACTGCCAAATGGCATAAACGTATTGGGTTTCACCACGTCCTACAAGAAAACCATAAATTAATATTCACATATTTCTCCTTAATTAGTCTCTTTATGTTTTGAGAAAAGAAATGTTTTGTCCTACCATACTTTCATCGGATTAAAAGTAATGGTGGTCATTAAATTTTTAGTTGAACTCAAATTTTATATGAATATTGTTAAATATGACTAGTGTTCCATTTAATTCTACGGTACTAAGGGATGGTTTAACAACACTTTTGATGAAATGTATGATTCAAAAATTGATAAAAGTTTAATATCCTGATTAAAATTTAAGTTTGATCAGTTGAAAAGTTCTAATAAAATTTTATCGTATAGGCATTAAATAAACCATTAAAAATATAATACTAACTCATACCTCAAACCTAGAAGGATCAAACTTCTGAGGATCAACAAAGAAATCAGGATTGTGATGAATATTCCTGAATAAAGGCATGACCTTCCATCCCTTTGGAATTAGGTACCCTGCCACCAAAATCGTACCAAACTTTCAGTGACCAAAACTAGGTGGAGCTACTTGTACTAACAATAAAATATATTCACACGGGGAGGACATTTCCCTTACAAGAAAGCGTACCTTTATATTCCACATCTGTCACTGCCTCTCGAAATGTGAATGATATAATGCTTGCCATTCTCAAACTCTCTAAGATCACCTGAAAAAAATACAGCACGGAGCCCGTCTCAATTTACTATACTATTTTCAAAATACGACGTGTGATTGATGGAAGCAAGTTAGATATCAGATTCACCGTCAAGAATGAACACAAATTTATACTACTTGTAAATGATTTTGTAACGAAATTTTGGCGTTATCTGTAATATGGACTAGACTTAACCGGCCTAAATGAAACGAAATATACCAACTATATTATTTGTAGCAGTCAAATACCTTGCAAGTAAATGGCATATTTCTTGTTTGATTCCATGTTAAATGATAATTTCCATTTTTATTTGATTGGTATATTGCCTTCTGTTCAGCCTGCATGCAAATCAGAAACATATTATCTACGACGATTACAAAGCAAATTTAAGCATAAGGTCAAGAAATGAGAATGATCTTGAGACACGAGAATCGTAGAATGTATTGATTTGACCAACCACAAACAGAGTAGAGAACCGCGTTTTTCTTATAGAGAAACTTGTATTATTCCAGAGCAACGAGAAAATGCGATGGAATCTTCTAGATCTTACCTTGACGGCCTCGAGAAGTTTTGGGTAGTCGTGAAGGTACTTGAGAATCCATGTCATGGCACTCGCAGTCGTGTCTCGTGCTGCGAAAAGTACTCCGATGATGTTGTCAGCAAGCTGATCCTCACTTAGAGTTTCACCATTGTCATCTTTAGAATTCAGCAGAAAACTCAACAGGTCCTTCTGAGAAAGCGTCTTCTCCTTTCTTTCTCTCATAATGTTACTAAATATTTCACTCAGCCTCTTCCTTGCCTTGATGAATTAAAAGGGTAAATATGATTAGTCAAAAACGAGAGTCCATTTTCAACACGTGTTTCTTAAGGTACTATGTAACAGATTACAATTAGAATTTCTTTACCTTCCTTGCCTTTTGGTATGGAGTTCCAGGTAAGTTTGTTGGAAAGGAATTGTACCCTCTATCGAGTATACTATAGTTCTTCTTTAGTTCTTCTTTATAATGGAACTCCAAATGACCAAAAATGGAGAGTATACCAACTTCAAATGTGAACTGCAAGGAATCAAGTGTAAATGACAAACTAGATTTCTCGTATAAAATCATAAAATAAAATAAAAAAAAGACAGATTCGTTCATTGAAATGGTAGTTTTTAACACGTCCTCTGTGAATGCCAACATCATTTTTCATTAAAGAGGTGATAGGTGCACAATTTTTATAAATGAATTCAAAGAGACGAACCTTTTTCATCTCAGGGAAAATGTTGATGACATGTCCACTGGCCCACGAATCCATTGCAGACACTGCTATGGCTTCAATATCTGCCACCAGGTTGCGGATTGCCTCCGGGTAAAAGGCAGCTTGAACCAGCTTCCTAAGCCGCATATGGTACTCCCCCTGGTGAAAAAACAGCGCAGAATTGCCGATCAAGTTTTCCTTGCTCTTCGGATATGTCGGCTTGAACAAATGTGCCTGAGTGAGTAGCACGATTCGGGCTGCTTCTGGGCTCGCCAACATTATACAAGGGCAACCAAGTACACGAGTCTTGAAGATTTCTCCGTACCTGCATAAGAACATCCCGTTTAGAAAATATTCTATCAGGGGATGTCACAAAATTGGACAGTAATCGGGAACGAGAGCAAAGCACCTTTTTCCTCTGTCAGAAAAGAAGTCATTTGGATCTTGGGAGTAGAGCTGAAGAGTTTCTCCAATATAAGGCCACCCCATTGAGCCTGGAGGGAGCTTAGTTTTCCTCTCTGAATGTTTTCTTTTCATTTGCTGTGAAATTACATATAAAAATACAGTAAATAGAAAGGTGAAAACAGGCACAAAGAATGCAATAATATTCTCCATCTCTCTCTCAATGCCTTTGTATTCTGTGTTGATATTTGAATCACTAAGAAATGGAGGTCTGTTGGTTTATATAGGCGCCGAAAGGTGGACACAGGATAAGTTAAGACAAAAAAATCTGTATAATTTATTACATAAGCAATTGAAATCTATTCCTAATGGTTTTAAGTTGTAAAATTTTTATTGGAGTACCCCTCATGTTACTACGTTCGTAGGTGTAAAGTGGGTTTTGTCTGATTATTCTGAGAGTGACTCGAAACTTGCACAATTCTCATTTTCTACTTGGCTAGGCTTAAAAATGTGAATCAGCACAAGGCGGTGCAATCCACTTGGCTAGACTTAAACATGTGAATCACCACAAGGCGGTGCAATCTACTTGGCTAGGCTTAAAAATGAAAAATGTGCATCACCACAAGGCGGTGCAATGTCAACAAGCCACAAGACCCAACACATTTTTTATGAAAAGAAATTAAAAAAATTCCTCGTGGATCTGCCCACACCTGCCCGACCCAGATTGGATTTACATAGCTAAGTTGACCATTCATTTATTTCATATACACTTGTTACCTTACAAACTTTAGTAATAGAATCATGTTACATGTACAATACTTGTTGATAACATTGGTTGACATCATCATATCCATTCATTTAAAAAAAATTATTTTCTACATCACATACTATGATTTTGACAATATATACTTGTCAATCATTGTTGTCAAAGAATATTGTACACTTAAATTAATTCTTAGTAATATGTTCAGTAAAGTAAATTGATATATTGAGAAAAGACATGAATAACTCGATTAAGAAATTGATGCATGCAAGTTATTCATTTTTGTCATATCCCCTCTTCGTTTTCAAATAATCATTGCTTCTAATGATATGGTGTTCCTATCATTTTAAATTTATCATAGCATTTTATGTATAATTTCGACTAGACGGAGATAGTTTCTATGGAAGGTATAACATTCCAAAAAAAAAAAAAAAATCAATTTCCTTTTTCCTCGAGGATCAAATACATAATTTTCTTGCATAACAAGGCTCCATATCACATAATTTTACACACATACATGTTCCCATGATTTTTTCTTGCCAACTGCCAAGAACAATGTACAGAGTTTCTTGATTACACTGGTTTGTTGAAACTAATATAAGCAATCGGATTTTTCGAGGGTTTTCATGTTAAAAGATCTAGTAGTCAAGCTTTGTCTTGTTCATAAGTAGGAGGACATGTACATGTAATCAGAGAAAACGTCACTGAATTCTTGATTCATTGTACATTCCAATACGTTAAAATTTTGACTCAATTTTGTGCACGTGGATGATTTGGTAATGAGAAAATGGACAAAATAAAGATTTGATGATGTTTCAATCTCACAGGTCTCTCAACTTGCACTTATAATTAATCGATGATAAGATTATCACATTTGTGTACGCACTAACGGTAAATTGGGAGTAAAAGTATTATTCATCTATCGTTACAATCTAAATTCGAGTCCATCGTTCAGTTACCTCGCGCGTTGGCTACACCACTCAGGATAAATATCAGTAATTAAATTCGGTTCCAACAAACTAACTCAATAATTTTAACCATTTTTTTTTCTTTTCTGTTTTGATAATGTTGACATCATAGTATTTCGAGACGTGTTCATCGAGTAAAAGTAAATTGCTCAAAACTTACTTTACTACAAATAAGTTCTGACATAAATAATTTTTTCTTGTTTATCAAATAAAGAGTAATTTACTTGTGTGAATAATAATTTCAAAATAAAAAATAATTTACTTGTAAGTTCACTTTCTATTCTTCGCGTGGTTTCCTATAGTGTGGGTAATCAGAAAGGAATTCCCCACAAGAATCCGGCAGTGCTATCCAGCACACGCGTCGGATATCATAAGATTTCCATGTCTCCAGATTGGAATAGTGTCGTGGGCCCCACATACTTCTCCTTAGTCTTCGGGCCCAGTACGCAAACTAGCGCATACGTGTATGCTCGTAATCATAGACCCATTTTCAATTATTATTATGCCATTTTGAATATAAAAGATGGTTTTGTCTCAATCCGAGCCAGCTGCATGACACTTGTCGTTTTCTCAGGGTCCATTTCCACCTGTACATCCTAATTTACACTCTCGTTGACGGAATTTATATTTGACAAGATCTCACACAATTTTCCACAGCCACCACAATCAATCCAACCGTTGATTTTCTGCCATATATTCATCTATACTTGAGGGTGTACAACTTTTTTATATAAACAACTTTACTCCATGGATTTTGCTACTACATAAAAAATGTACATAATGAATTACATAATATGATGTGGATGAAAAATATTAAATAAAAAAGTTGATTATATTTTAAATTGGAAAATGGTAAAGTGTCATATGACGTTATATAATTCAATATATAAATTGTTACTCATATAAACAAATTCTCCACATGGCGAACTGACCAGCTCATACGTGGCATAGCGATTCTATGCATGCGGAGGCGAATCCAACCTGAAAGCAGGTTGACCGATCCCCTTCTGGCAAAGGCCCTCGATACGGGCACATCCATGGCGAAGCAAACAATCAACCAACAATAGACCCTATGAATTGATTGACAAGACAACTCACTACCAACGCCGTCTCTGAACACCTACATGGTCAAATCCCACCTGAACAAGAGATCTTAGCATTTAATGGCCCTGACTGATGGATAGATAGATAGATAGATGCATGTAGAAGAAGGGTTAGTTAATCTGATGAAGCCACGTGTCCTATCATCCAACGGGCTTCCTCCTTCTCACTCGAGTATAAAAACCCATAGTTAGCATTATTCGGGGTAATGCAACTCTAGATTTCCAATCCAACATTCTTGCCAAACACACTTCTATCATTTTAAGCGAGATCACCACCTTTTCTTCAATTCGACCTGGCCTACGTAGATACAAGAAGTTCTTGACATCTGTTGGCCACGTTTGATACAATTTTTGGGGTCAGCAGATTGGTGCCGTCTGTGGGAATTCTTTGATACTATAACCACAAACATCGTAGTGGTAAAAGCCCTTTGAAGCAGGACCTTGAAAAAGGTCTGGTTCTTGATGAAACAACCGTGGCAAAGGAGCGCCTAAAAGAAAAAGATTATCAACCCAAAATCAGATATCTATAATGAGTTCTAGCCACCAAGGAACACATGGTGAAGATAGACAACGAGAGGCATCTGAAGAAGAGATCCTTTGCACCAATGTGAAGATACATCGTCCCCATCACCAGCACAGGCGAAGTGGCACTACAGCACGCCTCGACAGGGAAGTGTGGAAAATGGCCGCAAACATGAGGAACATGGCCCAACAAAACGCAGCCATGTAGCAGCTACTCATGCAAATGCACCACCAAGCTGGGTCCCAGGCACCTCGCCGCGAAGTTTTCTCCCAAGGCGACGAAAACGATACGGCAGTGTAACCTCAAAGGCATGGCTGGGTGACAACCCAGTGGAGAGAGAGAGAGAGGAAGTAGAAACCTCCACCAACTACGTTACGAGCCGACCTGGTAATAGCATGCCGCAAAAAGGAAATTTTTCTCCCGAATACACTCAAGACACGAATCCCAAAGGTCCAACAGCGTCTTCAATCGAATTGGGCCTAGAAATAGGTCCTATCAACCAGCCCCTATCCAAAGAGAGCAAGGACATCACCAAATATATGAACCTCAGAAAGTACCACCTCTGCCTAGAAATAGGCAAGAGAGGAGAGACGAGGCATATATGAGGAATCAGGCAGGGACGTCACGACCCCTTCGTTATCAGGCGAAAGAAAATGACTCTGATGGTCCGTGCAGATCGTTTGAAATAGATGATCACGACGAAAGCTTGCCTTTCACCTGGGAATTGAGAAGGCATCCATGTCCCAAGTCACTTCATAGCTCCAAAGATACCCAAATACGAAGGGAAAGGCGATCCGGTGAAGCACCTCAATAACTATAAGACCCAAATGTCTCTGCGAGGAACCTCATCGGCGCTGAAATGCAGAGCTTTTCACCCCATGCTAACAGGAGCCGTAGAAATTTGGTACAGCTGCATCCCGACCGGTAGCATCAAAAGTTGGCCAAACCTCAAAAAGGCCTTTCTGAACCAATACCTGTCTAGTAAAAAAGAGGAGGCCCCCATACAGAGACTGCAAGACATGAGGTAGCAGGTGGGGGAAACTCGGTATTTGGCTCGCTTTACAGATGAACAGGTTACGGTTACAGATAGAGAGGCCCTTTCTGCCCTAAATGAGGGTCTCAACATGAACACCTTATTCTGGAGAGACGTCAGAAACAGGAATCCCACTTCATATGATGCTATGGTGGAGATGATGAGAAGTAAAATCATCAATGAGGAGTTGATAGATCACCGCAATAGAACCTCGCTGGGGCTCCCCTTGCCTCAAAGACAGCGAAGAGGCCTTGTGTTGGTAGACCAGCAATGGACTCGATAGGATACACAATAGACCCCACTTCAGGCCTAACGTTAGCCACCGTCACGCTAAATACGGTGCCCTTCTTGGCATATGAGCAGGTTGGGACCGAAGTCCAAAGACAACCGAACCCATCCAGAGAAAAAGGCAGATGGAGAAACGGAGAGCCTTGAGATAGGCAGTACTGTACGTACCATCGAACCAACAGCCACAGTCCTATCCAGGCCATATCATGGAGAACTAGCTGGCCCCCATGTCAAGGATAGAAATACCCACCAAACACAAAGACGTGCGTCCTTACCTGGCAGGAAAGAAAGCCTGGGCATAGCGAGGCGAGACCCCACCGGAGGCACGAATCGCCTCGACAGGAACACGAGGAAAATAGGAACAGTGCAAGGGGTAAAAGTCCATGAGGGAACCGCTAGGCCAATACTGATGACACTCCCGTTAGAGAAATCGACACCATCGTAGGTGGTCCCCACA